TGACAACCAAAGATTCAAACGAAGTCGCCAAAGCCTTAGAACGCATATACAAACGCAGTCGCTTGACCTGGCCTGCCATATTGCAAATTGATCCCCGACACGAGTTCATGGGAGCCGTGTCACAACTGCTGGCCAAGCACAACGTCCAGGTGAGACGAGGTGTGGCGGAAGCTCACCGAAGCCAAGCCATAGTCGAGAGATTCAATCGCACCTTAGCCTAACGTCTGTTCTCACATCAGTACTCGCAGGATTTAATAGATCCCCAAAACAGTAACACAGAATGGGTTGTACACTTACCGCGAGTGGTGGATGCCATCAACAACGAAGTCACCAGACTCGTGGGCAAGAGACCCGTCGATGCCATCAAAATTAAATCTGTCGAATCGGCGTCGGCAGCAGCACGTCGCGATAAAACAGAAAACATTACTGGACCAGGTCAGCGTTTGGTACTTGTACCAGCCGGGAGAATAAGAGGGAGACAGCAGAAAACGCGCCACCAATCCGATATGGTCCATGAAAAGGTACAACGTAGACCTTGTCGACATCAAAGACGGCGAACCAAACTTGTACTACTTGAAAGACGGACCGCTGAGAGCATTCGTCAGAGAGGAGTTGATGATCGTACCTCACCAAGTCCCTTTTAGATCTCCCACTGTATGATAATTCTCATGCTATTAGGTTGTGGTATGCTATGTGGCCAGCCAGCTCTACAGGGAACTGCACATGGTGAATAATAGCTGAGCCAAGACACACACACACACACACTGCGACTCGCCTACAGCGCTCGCTCGGTGATACCGAGACGATGACCCGGGGAGGAAACTGCCGAGAGATGAGTTTTATTCACTTTCAGACATCTGTAGCCTCGCTAGTCAGCCGGCCGTGCATCATCATAGCCGAGCCGAGAGACACACGCACGCACACACACACTTATACTCGTCCACGGCGCTCGCTCAAAGCAACCCCTGAGACGGTAGTGAGGTGATGACTTCCGAGACCTGCGTTTCATTCAGATAAAAACACCTCTCGCCTCGCTAATATATAACAAGTACGACAATACGTTGGATTGTTAGCCTTTCGCCAGACCGACCCCATGCTCACTAAAAAGTGATTATTTCCTAAACTATTTGACCGATTTTCGCGAAATTTTGCATGCATCTCGGCAGATGGTTACGACCGACCCCATGCTCACTTAAAAGCTAATATTTCTGAAACTATTCTAACGATTTTCATCAAATTTTGCATGCAACTCAGTAGTAGTATACACAATTGGGCTACAGGATTAGGGACTCCTCAAGGGATCAATTTAAAAATTGAGCCCTTGGGTGGGGGACCTGGTCCCGTAGCACCATTGTGTATACTACTTTCCGAGTTGCCGAAGTTGAACTGTCAAAGACTGGAATATGAAGCACATTGAAGATTTCATGAGCAGAAAGGAAATAGATAGTACATTTATTTAAACCACCAGCAGCATCCCACATGGGTGGAAGTTTGGAAAGGCTTATTCAAACAGTGAGATAGGTGATGGATTCTTTGTTGAAAAGCAGCCAATCTCTAGATGATGACGGTCTGTCAACACTTTTCTGCGAAATAGAATCTATCGTAAATGGAAGGCCAGTTACTACTATTTCAGATGATCCGAGGGATGCCGAGCCATAGACGCCAAATCACCTGCTCTTGCTACGAACGGGCCCAGATGTACCATTTGGAGGCTTCCAAATGGCGGATGCATACAGACAACATTGGAAACATATTCAATGTGTGGCGGATATGTTTTGCAGAAGATGGACCAGGGAATATATGCCGACTCTTCAACTACGACAGAAGTGGTTGAAACTGCAGAAACATTACAGTTGGAGACATAGTCCTAATTGTGAATGAGAATTACCCGAGGAAGCAGTGGCCATTGGGAAGGGTCATTGAAACTCATCCAGCGCAAGATGGACTTGTGAGGAGTGCAGATGTTCGTACCGGGAGTACAACACTAACTAGACCAATAAACAAGCTGTGTTTATTGGAAGGAGTGAAATACTGACATTATTTTCTTTTAGTGCAGTGACTGTACAGAACCAGAAAAAAAAGAGGGACTCTTATTTGATTTATGATGAATTTCTTCAGGGTTAAGTGCTTGAGCAATAGGTCATTTCTCTGTGCATTTAAGGGTCGGGTATATAAGCGTTATTGTTTTGTCTCTTCCAAGTTTGTTTAGCGGTAGGACTAAAGGGAGGTAATAGGATGTCGTGATGACTTGCCGCAAAGTGGTGTGTGTAGGGTGTCATGATAACTTGCCGCAAAGTGGCGTTTGTAGACACAAGGCATTCCAAAAAACCTGCGCATTGCTTGAGCGGGTAGAAACCGATGTACGCATGTGATTCTGCCGCAAAATTTGTAAGTAATTATTCCCTAACATTGTTTTTCTCATAAAAGTGCTCATTTAATTTAATCTATAATTATCACAGTAAGGCTTAAGTGATTAATTCAGTAACAATACTTATGGTAAACTCAGTAAATTTACTTTTGTTTGCCAGATATTATTCTAAGCTGGGGTTTTTGTATTTGAATTTCAGCTTGTAGAACCAGTAAAACATGTAAAGGTTACAATAAACTCATTATACTGTGACAAAAAAGAAACTCAACAAAAAATAAAAATGCAGAGTCTCAGAAATAGCAGAATCATGTGATCGTGTTAGTGATCAGAAGAACCTACAGAGAGATTTTTTGAGGATGTAATCCATGTGACCACCATAAGATAAAAACTGTACATTGAGTGTCACCAAAAGGGGTTTTAAATGAACGGACCTATTCAGTAGTAATAACTTAGTGAAGGAGATGCTCTTCCTTTACACTTTAAATGTTTGGTGGGTGCTGAATGACGTCTGTGTAATCTACATTACTTCATTTCCAAAGGAGCATCATCTTCTACTCGGTTTGCACACAATAGTTATGTACCTTTGGCACTGACCATCCACTGGTTCCAGAAGTAAATATTGGCACGGTCATCCAAGCACCAAAAGCACATGACATGACAGACATTTTTGTTCAGTGGCGTGATTGAAATGTGCACGATTGTCCAGTGACTGTCTTACCTGAGTAGAACTGATCACACACCATCAGGGCTACTCTGGTAAGACAGTTTCATGGATTTGTAGTTATGGCATGAACTCTTGTAAACATTGATAAATTATTTACTTTTTATTGGCTTATCATTGTTGATATTGTCCATCAAACTAAACAGGTAACGGGATTACAGTTTGGATGAATTTTCACTGTGCTTATGTACTGTCTGTACTTTAAATAATGAATAAAACGAAGAAACAGTTAATCTCTTTTGTATCTTTTAATGTAAGTCTGTGTAATAGAATAGCAACATTTCACGAGTAATTTTTCTATATTTCTATATAGATATGGTAGTGTTATCGTAATGTAGATTACAAGACTTGTATTCAAGTTGTGTAATGGCCAAGTTTTGTTGTTTATCACAATATAATACAGATAAAACTTATGTGAAATATATTTCCAGTAACTCTTAGTTTCAAAAATCCTGTAAGTCTGGTGAACAATTTATGCAAATTAGTTTACCCACTCATGGGTACCCAATCATGACTGGCGATCTTCGTTTTCTCCTGTCGACATCTGACTTTTTATAGTTTGAATTTTGTGAACACGTAAAAGCCTGAATACCAAAATTAGTGACCCTCCCCATATCAGAACTCGACAACAGCTCAGAAATAACTGTGTCTTCAACAACGGCATCAGGAGCAGATGATGTGTTGAGCCCTTGTTCAGCAGAAGCAGATGACTGTTCAACTGGGTTGATGAAATTGTTGCACTGCGTGATGTTCCATTCTGTGGAAGATGGAGATGAATCTTGAAATCCATATACGGATCCAACTGTTTCCAACGTAGAATCTCAAGTTTCAGTTACATCTTGCGCTTCAAGTGCATCTCAAGCATGTACTGTGGATACATGGTAGTATTAGGAGTTAGGTTGCTTGGTATTTTGGAGAGTTTTAGGATTTTAGGGTGTTAGGTTATTTAAGTTGATATAAATAAATGATTGAGTTTCTCTTTTCTCTTTGTTATGTGTCTCTGAGCAATGAGATCTGATTCATAGAACCTATACACTTGAAGTTGGCTACTTTACCATCATCATAAAATACACAACTCAAGGTCGTATACTATACACTAGCCAACTTCAGCTGTCACTGGGCATGAAGCCTATTACAATCACAACAAATGCAAAAATGTCCAGTATTCAATATTTGAAATAGTAGTGGTTGCCAGTTTTAAAAAGCAGGGCATCCCAGTGTAAAGTAGTGTAGACAATGTGAGACCAGGAACCACTCACCACTATTAAGTGTTTTCACCCCAGGTCTGCTCCTCAACCCCTACTGAAAAAGGACAAATTTAGTGGGACATCATTTGGTGTTCTGCCAAACTGACCTGTTTTTATGGGAGCTGTCAGAGCAGAATTGAGGTGACACCTCTTTATAACAGGATTGGGGTGGAGCAGTGGGGTAGTGGGGTGTTGTTGTCCCGCCTGTTCTCCCATTGTCTCTTTTCTTTTTCTCTCTCTCTCCAACCACCCCCACCACCCCCCCCTCACTCTCTCTCTCTTTCTCCCATTGTCAATACTACCTCCTCAGAGAAGTGCTTGGGAAACCACTAGTAGGACATTACAACTTACTGATGTTTTAAAATAATCATTTAAGTTAAACCTGTGGATCAGAAACAAGTTTCAGGAAATAAGGCAATCAAATGTTTGAGGTAGTATTCTAAGAATTATTTTCATTGTTGATAATGCTTCAGGTTTCGAGGTTATTACTAGGATTGGAACAAAACAAATCAAACTTGAAATCTGAATACATTAGACCAAAACGGCATTGCAAAAAATCATTTGTGCAAATCTATTGCAAGACTCAATTTAGGGAACCGAAACCTATTTGCACCTAGTCCTACCTGGTGCTGAACATTTTTCAATTTCATATTGTATCTTTCAGATACACTGAGATTGTTCAGGGAAAATATTCATCTTCAGACAGCGTGTATAGCAGGTAAGCATGTCATTGTGTTATGAGAGTGTGGTTTTTGTAAGTTGTAATATCACATTGATTAACTGATAGTTACTATGGGTCACAAAGTTTAAAGTTTTGAGAGTAGGTTTTGGCTCGCATTGTGCATCATGTATGTTCAATGGCAATAGTATTTTTAGCGGCACGCCTTTTTGAGATAGCGCTTTGGAGTCACCTGGCCTTGGCTGACTTCAGGTGTTGGTTCTGGTGGTGTCTTGTGTTTTCAATGGCATTCTATAATGTTCTGAGAGGATAATGATGTAGCCTAGCTTTGCTAGAATGCTCGAGAACATATATTCACTATCACTCAAACCACCATCCCCAAATCAAGAGAGCAATTGTTGCCACACTTGCGAGACGCGCAAAAACGATTTGTAGCCCTGACCTACTGCAACAAGAAACAGACCACCTGATGACAACATTCATCACATACAATGGTTATCCAAAGAACCTAGTAGAAACCACCATAAAGAAAACACTACAAGATCAAGTTCAGCCTCCTCTGAAACCTGAACCATCTCCCATCCGCATCAACATCCCGTATGTTGGGCCCATCAGCCACCAAGTCAGCAGACTCCTAAAGAAAATGGCCAGCATTGACACCACTTTCTCGTCTGGCAAAACCCTTAAAACTTTGCTACGTGCAAATGGTAAGGGGTGCAATCATGCTATATCTAACCCTAAATGCTGTGTGTATAAACTGAAATGTGGCTGTGGTGACATCTACATTGGTGAGACAGGCAGACCAGTAGCTACACGTGTGAAAGAACACAAAACTTCAGTGGACAAATCAGATCTGAAATCTGCAGTTTCCCAACACATTACAAATAATCCCGATCATGAAATTGACTGGGAAACTGAAGTCCTCGCAAAAAACATCAGTGACTGGCGGAAACGCAAGTTGATTGAAGCTATCTTCATCAAACGCACAAAACCAGCAATAAACAGGGATCAGGGTGTCTACCTCCCAAATGCATGGTACATAAAGCAATAAGACAATACCCTACCCTCGTCACTGTTCCCATGTATAAAGCATAATTTCCATGTATAAAGCATAATTTCTATGTATACACTGCTATTACTTTACATTCTATACATTTATAAATACGTCTACGCGGATTCATACAGTTTGCATATTGGTTTTTAGTTTCATACCTCAATGCAACGAAAGAAATACACAGTCAATCCTTATAATTAAATTCAACAACAAATACTATAGGCTTTCAACAATATTTTATTTAAACACAATCAAATTCATCGAAACAGATATCTTTGTTACCACCGATTAACATTTTCGGTGTAAGAATTCGGTAATGGTGTGACCTGACTCAGGTGACTCATTTACATAAAATGACACGCCTACCAAACCATTAGCCAATCAGCATAGAGCACCCCCAAACAGCTGTCAATCAACCAAGCTAACATCGGGTGGCGAATCAGAGCGAACAACACAACGCGTGTAGCGTTCCAGTAACGGCAAAGTTTCAAGTTCAAACATTTGAATTATTACCAGCGAACTGAAAGACACAGTTTGAAAAGTGAGAATTGGAAAAGAAGCCCGATGAGATGAAGTTAGTGGAACTGAGATTGTTAGTGGCAGCAGTATTTGCGCAAGTGGAAAGGGGCTGTGATGTGACTGGGATTGCGATGCCATGAACTGATGTTCCAACGTGCGCACATGCTCTTCTCGAGGCGTTACAATGGCGGAAAGCTTCTCACTAATTCTTAGTTTTTGAGTAGTCGTTGTGTGGCGACTATAACTACGCACAGAACTTTCATTCCTATGGCCACTCATAAACATTATGTGACGAAGTTCAAAGTCAGCGTCACTCATGGCTTGGATTGCTGTGGCGCGAAGGCAATGAGCAGTGTATGACTGACTACATTGGGCATTGCGACATATGTCAGACATGAAACGAGTGAACTGGTATTTTTTGACTGGGGTACTGTATACCAAATATTGTGTGCGTCTGGGGAACAAAGTGCATCTTTATTACAGTGCGAAAAAAGTGATCCGGCATTTGGGTCACTTTTGTCAAGGAGCTGGCGAAATGCATTGACGGGACATTGGTTTATATCATTCGATTCGCATACATTCGTTTGTCGCTTATGCTTTCATCGCTGCTGAGACCACCCTGGATGTTTTTTTTTTCGTTTAGGTGGGACAGTGTGACATATTCAACATTGCTATCATCTATCGCATGAATTCAAAGGATGTGGGGTAAGCTGCTGGTGAAATTCAAGACCACGACTTACAAAATGGATGGCCAAGTCGTACCATACTTTGTACCGGAGGATTACAGGATTGGATGCCGAATGCAGATAAGTGCTAATTTTCATTAGATCACTTGTTTCAATGATTGATTTATGTTGTGTGGGACGTGACAAGCCATGTTGTACATTGTACTTTAATTTAGCATCAAGCATATCATTTGCAGACTTAAACTGCTTATCTCTTACAATGTCAATATCTCTCCCGATGTCATTTAAGTGTCTTTTCAGGGCAGAACGAACATTTTTTAAAGTGTTCTTGTGATACTCGGCAGCATGTGCAGCCGGCATATTTTCACATCTTGTTTCCTGGTTTTAAGGCTGTGCCTCAGTGTAGAAAAATCTCAACTTAGTGTTAAGTTCCTCTGGTGTAATTGTTGAAAAATCCACAGTCCTCCCCTCGCTCTCGAACGACCAATCTAAATAAACAGAACGAAAACAATATCTAGAAACCTGACTATGACAGACCCAACTATGTAAACTTTGAACTAGGTAACTTTATAGCAAATCATTTTTCTCGGTTAGATCTACATAATTTAATCTCATTCTGATAATTGTTCCAGTTTTTAAAATACAACTTTGTGCTGATGAACTGTGTTTTGTTTTGAGAAAATATACGTAGGATGGAATTTGAAAATAATATTTATGTGAATAGTTTAACACCCCATTTTGTGTTTCTTTTTGTGGATGTTGATTGTCTGTAGTCGTCCATTCGAAGTAAATCATTATTTGATAAACGTTTGAAACGATGTGTTTGGGATGGCTTATCATCGACTTGCATTGCACACGTCATCTCGTGATTTGCCGATGTTTTTGTAGATCTTGTTGATGCTGTTATCTCTAACAAACTTTCAATTTCTTCCAGGTCAAAATCATCCGGAAAATCAATGTTATCCGTGCTAAGAGTTGCAACGTTTCCGGTAGATTGATCTTCGAAAATCGACTCAAAATTCCCCAGATCAAAACTTCCGTACTTGGAATCGGCCATCTTATTAATGTAAACAAGACAAGTTGCAGACGACTGTTCGCTGACTGCACGTGGTAACCACTGTAACCAGTCAAGTAATGTATTATGACAAACACTTTTTTATTAAATAAACACTTTATTAACGTTCACGGATAATTTTGAGTTGTTTATGTTAACCACAATGTATCACTTCAATGTTTATCCAAAGTTCATTAAGGTACCCGAGTGCAAGGGAATTCCCTCGCTGTGTAAAGGTATTCCCCGACATTCCTCAGGTCCAAAAGTAGTCCGGTTCGGTGGGCGTGGCTTATTTTTTTAGATTCATTGGGAAATGAAATCAAAAGAAATGTTCCCAGTTAAACAATCAGATTGCCAGAATTTTAATGAACACAATAAAAATTTAATTATTTTGCAGTAAACGACATCTTATATATTCATAATAACATGTATTCTATTAGCCATGTCATCTGTATCTATTGACTACCACATGTATTGCGTCGTCATAGCATTGTGACGTCATACGCATTGTGATGTCACGGCCAGAGTTAACAGTTACTGTTCAGTTTTACCTGATGATGGGGCCAGAACAAGCCCTGAAACGTTGTACTTGAGAATAAAAAGAAGATGTAACCCAGAAAAAATCTCTATGTTCATCAAATATCATCTTCTAAAATGTGCGTGGGATATTTTGATTTTTATTGGACTTCAAATTGAGGGTTGAAGGGGAAGGACATATATGTCCCTGTGGCATCAAGGGGGTTAATCCTATCCCATATGGAAATCACATTTTCGTAGAAAGAAGATGTAACCCAGAAAAAATCTCTATGTTCATCAAATATCATCTTCTAAAATGCCAATCAAGCATCTAACTGTGTTAGAGCTATATAAAGGATGATTGTTGAGTTCTGTGACGGAACTTCGGATTTATGCACATCTGTCTGCCATCAGCAAGTTTATCAACATTTCATGCTTTTCTATTCAACTGTTGTCATTGCCAACAACCTCCAATCAGTACATCTGTTCTCACTGTTAATGTCAAGACTGTGGTGAGTTAATATTTTAGATTTGTGACCCAATATTCTAGATTTGTGACTCAATAACTAATACTCACTGCATGTCTAATTGATTCTGCTCGTTCTAACTTTGACCTCACTCGCCACACTACGAAAATGTGATTTCCATATGGGATAGGATTAACCCCCTTGATGCCACAGGGACATATATGTCCTTCCCCTTCAACCCTCAATTTGAAGTCCAATAAAAATCAAAATATCCCACGCACACAAATACACTTCACAGTTTCGAATTCTGCGGGAAATTTCCTGTTTCTTGATACCATCCACTACTATTTTAGACAAAGCTCAAGTGCTGAAAATGACCTTTCAAAATAGGCTTCATCGAAAATGTCGCCATTTTTGACACAGTACGAAATCGCGATTCATAGCGTTATTTGCTGTATGTTTTGAAATGTGAAAATCGGATAATTACTGGGAGTATTGAATTTAAAAAATAACATATTAATGAACACTGATAACAGTTTTACACGAAATCGCTAATTATAATTCTGAAACGTTGCCGATGAATCTAGAATCGGTTGGGATGTTTTCGAAAATGCACTTACACGAACGCCGTAGAGCGCTTTCCGCCATAATGGATAGTGTTTACAAAATCACGTTTAGCGAAGGCCGGTATTGAGACGCCTATATTACATCAATGTGTATTTCATATTCAGCTTCAAAAATGC